GACGACGGATAAATTCAATATGAACTTATATAAAATTAAAGTACTTGGAACTGCTTTATACGCTGGGTCGGCCATGACATGGCAATTGAGCGACAGTAACTGATTTTCTGGAAAAGTGAGCGCCTCACGGCTGTTTTCGTGAAGAATAATGAGGCGCTGTGGGTAAGTTGCCAATGTTGAAAATGCCAAGTGTTTATTGCCGATCAGCGGAAAGACAGACGCATCTATTTCACCTTTACTTGGTCAAATTTAATTTTTCTTCTTGACTGCCATCCTTGTCCAGCTTGCTATCAGGCCTGTTTAACAACAGATTTATATCATCAAGTACGTCTAATGAATCCTTAGGTCACCACCCCACGGACACATACGCGCACGGACACACAAAATAAAACAAAACAAAAACAACAACAACAAAAAGAAAATAGTTAATGAGGCTATTTGAGTTGGCCAGTACTACTGCGTAGTGGGTTCGAACCCTGTTTGCTGTCCTATTCAAACTTCGATAATAATTACCCAGAAAACGCTTATCGTAAATAAGGTAACGAAATCAAAACACACATGCACGCACACGCACATATATGTATATATTTGGATCTTGATAATTTTCGTGGTCAATACACACACACACACACATATATATATATATATATATATATATATATATATATATATATATATATATATATATATATATATATATATATATATATATATATATATATATATAATGGTTATATTATATTATCAATGGTTATAATTTATTATATTGGAATCGTAATCAAGATCCATTTCATGAGACCTACATAAAAAAAGCTTTCTTTGGGGAATTTGTAGGTCTGGTGAATTGGATCGTGATTACGATTCCAATTTAATAAATTATAAATTATAACCATGGTATATTAGTGTTTTATATATATATATATATATATATATATATATATATATATATATATATATATATATATATATATATATATATATATATATTAGTGAACTCTTCCGTCTATTTCGGCAACGGAGCCCAACAATTTTTTATCAATAAACTGCTAGCCAGGACTTCTCAACAAGGGAGGTGCTCCCACCCCCCGAGTGTAATTTCAATATTTTGGCTAAGAATCTTTTTCTTGTTTGTTGTTTATAGAATTTGCAGCCCAGCATGGATGTAAAATATCCTCTATATAAAGTATCCATGTACATATCTTTGTACTAATATGGAAAAAAATATAAAGAATTTCAATAATGTCTGCATATTACTTGGAATTCAACATTTAAGTCGGAAATCTAGGAAAGGCGCGAGGAATGGCATTGTGAAAAGAAGAGTTTAGAAGAATCCTCAGCAGAATGCAGAAAGCACTGGACGGCCGTTTCACGTCTATTGAGTTTCTTCTTCCTCATCAATGTCCGTTGGTACAGTTGATCCAGGTTCGCTTCTCGGTGGGGGATGCGCATTGCTGACGAGTCACAAAGAGGATGAAACGGCCATCCAGTGCTTTTCTACATTCTGTTGAGGATTCTTCTAGACTCGATGAATTACTACATATAAATATATATATTTATGAATTAATATATATATATATATATATATATATATATATATATATATATATATATATATGTGTGTGTGTGTGTGTGTGTATGTGTGAAAAGTGTATATAAATATGAATAAATATATATATATGTATAATTATTTATATATGCGCGTTATTTATTAGAAAGTGCTCAATATCAGAGATAGAGCTAACATATATATATATATATATATATATATATATATATATATATATATATATATATATATATATATATCGTCGCTAGTCTTCTGATAAGGTAATTTATTGCGCCTCCTATGCTAAAAAATATCAAAAGCATTTTCATTACAAGCAAATAAGATATGGATCCCGCTATTCTCCCGCAGCTATGGGTTAATTAGTAAAACTTATATCATTACATAATTATTATTTCTAAAAGCTTCTTATAATTCGAAAATAAAAAAAATTCTGGCTTTAAATAACCTGCAAAAACTCCATAAACCGTAGAAAAGAAATCAATCATTCAATTAAAAGACTATTTTCGTCAAAATAAACAGAAAATATATGAAAAATACATTTCTTTTTAGAAAATAACTGTTCTTAATCATTTTACCCCAAGCAAGGCAACAAATCCACAAAGTGGCAAAGGAGGGGGGTTACTGAATATGAGGGAAATGAGAAAAAATACTATCAAGGAAGGAAAACAAAAAAGAATTAAGGAGACAGAAAATAACGATTTGACAGGTGGTGCCATAGAAAAAACTGTTAGCATAGAACTCGATTTAAATGTCTTGAAGCTGATCGATAAATGGATCATGATAAGTTCTTGACCGAACCAAGAATGATTCTCTTCCATAACGTTTAGTCATTTCGTCATAGATTTTGGTCAATGTGTTAGATTGATCCACGCTGCTTGCTTAATAATCTTGGTGTTGCGATAAAAAGCAAAAGAAATTAAGCTAAAATAATTTCTAGTCAGTAGCTAATAACACGTGTTTTAATTAGTTTCCCATCGATATTTGTTAAATCAACGTGACGGAGTTAAATTCAGGTGATTGTTTCTCAAAGATTAAACAACATGTTGCCAATTTATTCAGTGCCATTGACTCGGAGAAACAAGAAAATTAAATCTGAATGTTTTTTTTTCAAAGACATGCATACGCTGTCCATACCAAAGTGCACATTATTCAGCAACTCTGCTAATGAGCTTATTCATTTCAGCTGTAAATGATTGCTAATCTCTGCTCAAACTAATATCTCGAAGGTATAAATAGTAGCTCCGGCCTAAGGTTTCATCCATAACGACAGAACACCAGTGAATTCACTCGCCTGAAAGTGCCCATTGTCTCATTGAAAACAAGGATTAATTTTGCTCCTTTCCAAAAGTGATCACTTTTATCATTTTTTAAATCGTTGACGCGAGATAGTTATGGTTTAAAATCAATGTTTCTGTAGGCACTTCGAAGTGTTGTAATTGCTACGAAGCTTGTCTCGCGAGACCATTTTTGTCTCACGGTGAGTTCGACACTCAATGTGACGCTCTGTATCCTCTGAAAATCATTATAACTAGCCCTTTTCTCTCAGTGAATGAAGATAAAGATTGTCACAATTTTAAGAAACTATTTTGATAACTTTACTAAATTTGAATTCTTAAAAGCTAACCAAATTCCAATTTTTTGAATCTTACCAAGTTCCTTTCCTTAGAAGTTTATAAAATGACAGTTATAAATTCCACTTTTATTAATCTGTAACAATTAAAATTGTTAGAAACAAAGACAATTCGAAATTCTAGAACATTACCAATTTCCAGCTCTTTAAACTTAATTAAATGTCGAATTTTAGGACGTAAACCAAATTATCATTCTTAGAGCATAAATTCAACATCTTAGAATGTAGCTAAAGTTCAAGATTTAAAGCTACAAATACAAAATCTCAGAATTTAACTAAATTTATATCTTTAGGTCTTTAGAAATTTATACAATTTGCAGGATCGCGTAAATTCCAGAATTAACAATATTACTGTAGTAAAAACAGAACCAGTGAATAAACTTATACCAAAATTTTATTGCATTTTACTCTGACTACTCGTCTTCTTACGGCTATAATGGATGTTTTTTTTATACCTCCTAGATCTCAAGGGGAGGTAACTGATGATTTATCAGGACAATTACCAAATTACCTAAAGCAAGAGAAGCAGCATCATAAATGAACAAAGAAAAAGTATTTAACTTTTGCTTTTTTCAATTTTTTTTGTTTTTTTTTATTATAAAGGCAACTAAAAAAAAAGCCACAATTCTTTCTTAGGATAAGTGGTATTCGGAGAAATAAATTCTGGTTTTCTGTTTCTCGAATCCCTTGAGTATGTGCAGTTAAATATATAAATCCCTTAATCTAGCCATATGCTCTTTTCTATCATCAGATAACTGGATAAATATCTCACTGACCCACTACTGGTTGATGGAAAAGATTATAGTCGTTTAAGGGATTTATTTCAACTAATACACTCATGTTCCGGAAACATAGCACTGCTCTTGAGACATGGTGTAATGGTTACCAAGGTCATCTTTTTAGATCAATTATAATTGATTATTGAGTTCAGTTTTCATTGTCACCCCATATTTTCGGCCTTGAGCCATATCTAAGCTCCGCTTAGAAAATAACAATAACACTATTCTTGAAGAGATCGACGTGCTAGGGGAACATTCCACATTCATTGGCCGAGTATTCAGTATATTACTGTCAGTTGAAAATTATAAAATGATGCTTTTATAACATTTTTCAGGAAAATAGGTCCAGTAGCTGTTATCGCTCTTTCCAGTATTGATGATGGTCTCTTTCGTAATCTTTTATTTGAACTATTCTGGTATTACAACATATTTATTATGTCATTGTTTTCTCGAGATACATGTGATATTCATTTTAGCTGTTGTCCTCTAGTGTTGTATTTTCTGTTATATGGTACAGTTCTTTTTGATTCTGTAGCGCCAGTTCTCAAGGTAGGAAGAAGTGTGGTCTTCGCCAAATAACCGATTGGGAATATCAGGTGCTCTAAGCTTGCGTGTTCGGGTCTTGTTAATGTATAATGGCACGGAATTGTTAATCGAAGAGCTGAGTTCGAATTTCCGTTGAGTTCCTTATATTCACTTAAGCGTAAATATCCTTGGGGAAGGCGTGAATCCACTTTTTCTTCCCTCTAGTTATGTGTTAATTAGTATGACTTGTATTATTATCTACCGAACTATACGAACAAAAATAATACAATCTAAAAATATTTTCTGGCTTTAAATAACCTGCAAAGGGTTGATAAACGGTAAAAAAAAGAATCATCTAATCTAAGTAAAGCCGTGTATTAAATACCACTCTACCTTGTATGGCTCTTAGACCTTTTATTAGATAAAAAAATAGGATATAAATAAATATTCAGGTTTAGCAATAACATACTTTTATGCCTTATGCTACAGAAAATCAGGCTTGCGACCACATCCCGTAGAAATACCGGTTACAGTACGATCACGGTGAGTTAAGCAACGTCGAGCCTTGTCAGTACCTAGATGGGTGACCGACTGGGAATACCAGGTGCTGTAAGCTTGCGTGTGCAGGGTGTTGTAATGTATAATGGCACGGAATTGTTAAACGGGGAGCTGAGTTCGAATTTCCGTTGGGTTCCTTATATTCACTTAAGCGTAGATATCATCGGGGAAGGCATGAATCCACTTTTTCTTCCCTCTAGTTATGTGTTATTTAGTAAGACTTGCATTATCTTCACCAGTCTCCGAAAAAAAATATTACAATCTAAAAATATTTTCTGGCTTTAAATAACTTGCAAAGGGTTGATAAACCGTAAAAAATGAATCATCTAATCTAAGTAAAGCCATGTATTCTATCAACGATTGTGATGGGATGATGACAATTTCAATCATAAAGACCCAACGGTATGATTCAAATAGTTATTTTTCCAAGAATAATCATATCACGTTTTATTTGGTTATGTCAAGGCTGACTATGTGTGTAACAGAACTTTGTCACTACTATCTACGGCAGTAAGCAAGTTAGGGGACACTTTTCACGCACACATTCATTTCTTTGTCATTCCTCGCCGCACGCCACTAACGAGTCATTTTGTCAAGATACCTGTTCGTGAAGCTCAGCGATGGGATAAGCGGTTTCATGATTTTATTATTATTATTATTATTATTATTATTATTCAGATTCAGAAAGAAATTTGCGCGCGATTTGCCGAAGGAATTTTTCTTGCTGACAGACATTACCTCATTCAACAACTCAATTTCGTTGGATAATGAAAACTTTGATAATACATTGCTATTATCTCATCTGTTATCTGTTAGAGAGCAGACAATTAATACAACCAGATCTGTAAAAATTGCGATGAAATGAAATAAAAAAATATGGTCTGCAGCCAATCATTTACATGATAACAAGACACAAAGTAGCAAAATTTGTTCGCCTGAGGCTCTGTCGTAAAACATAAATTTGTTTTTTAGTCACATTACCATATCCGTCTTGTGCTTAACTTTATAACGTCGTCCTAGGTAAGACGATAAACTACATCTGGCAACAAAGCTTTTGATTGGGAGTTTTGGAGGATCGTAGAACCACATCTTAATTGCTGTTGTTCCCAGGTTCACGATGACTCAGGATGGTAGCTATGGGCAAATAGTGAAACTTTGGGATAAATATATATATATATATATATATATATATATATATATATATATAACGTCATCCACAGGCAGACTGTTTCGCTGTTTCACAGCTCATCAGTGTGGCTAGACATTGGTGTCAGTCGGAGATTCTAACCATTAAGCCGTCGGCGCACGGTAGGGATGAAAGTGGATTTTTTAGCGTATTTATTTTTAGAAACACGCCCAGTGACCGACAGTGACTCAATTCGCATCTGCGAAGAGTCTCGCTATATAGCTATAATAGTCAATGTATATATATATATATATATATATATATATAGATAGATAGATACATTTGTATAGTAAAAATACCAGCAATATATTTTCACTGCAAAAATAAAATAAAATGACCACCAATTGATTTTAGCAAAAAAGAATACTAAAGCTCTCAAGAAAATTAAATTTCGCTATTATATGACCCTTAAAGAGTTGATATGCAGTTAAAAAAAACTACCCAACCCAAGCTTCATAGCCACATACTTCCTGGTCATGCAAGACAGCTGGTACTTCGACCATATTACATCTAACACATCCTGTTGGACCGGGCGAAGAGCGAGAGGGGGGCGGATAATCGTCTTGGGAATAGTAAAGTCACAAAGATAATATTTCGGTCGTGAATCTGAATATGTCGCTATGGTGAACTGTCGAAACGTCCGCTAATACACAAATTCAATAGTTAGGGGCGTCTTCAAGACCAGTTGTTCACTCTAGGCCGCGGTAAATGTCCCCATACACTTACAATCCTGGAGGGATCCTACTAATAGGTTCATATTTTGCCATGGTCTAAGGCCAACTACAAATACGTGTGGACCTACGACAGTGGATCCAACCATAAAGCGAATAAATATATGTCAGATAAAGGCTCTCCACAATTTCCTGTACTTTGTAGCTCTTAATAAAGTTTAACTGTTTGCTATCTCTTCTAATTTCCAATCTGCTTCTTATTTAGGCAAACTTGTTGGATAAGTTATGCGCTGCTTTTCTCTGTCCTTCTTTTTTTTTACAGTGATATTCCCCATATACAAAGCTCGGGAGCCACTCAAGGTAGAGCTGCCCTTCTTTTTTTTAGAGTGATATTCACCCTGTGCAAAGCTCAGGAGCCACTCAAGGTAGAGCTGCCCTTCTTTTTTTTTTAGTGATATTCACCCTGTACAAAGCTCAGGAGATACTCAAGGTAGAGCTGCCCTTCTTTTTTGTTACAGTGATATTCACTCTGTACAAAGCTCAGGAGACACTCAAGGTAGAGTTTCCCTTCTTTTTTTACAGTGATATTTACCCTGTACAAAGCTCAGGAGACACTCAAGGTAGAGATGCCCTTCTTTTTTTACAGTGATATTCACCCTGTACAAAGCTCAGGAGACACTCAAGGTAGAGTGAAATTCATCTAAAAACTAACCATAACAATAGCGGTAGAATAGTGATAGACTTGCGACGTCTCGTCTGTGACAAAGGGGTTGTAGGTCGAAAAATAATTCGTCACCCACAGGGACGCGGAGACGACTTTGAACACTATTGAGATTGGAAAACGAAGACTAGGCAGTTCTTGACCATTTGCGGCAGCAGTACTCTTTTCATGGTTTGTTCTGTCTCTTGTAAAGGTAGTGGTAAGCAGGAAGCGTGAAGCACTTGCACGAACGTTACAGGGAACCGACCATTTTTCCAGCATCTTTAGCGATGGATCCTATGTCCGAGTTCCATCTGAGGTCTGGGCTGAATATAAGTGTCAGTAGGCGATCAAAGAACGGGGCCCTCACTGAGGGAAAAACCGTTGTGATTGTTGAAAGTTACCTTATATTAAATATGTCTTTTGAGTATCAAATTTTCTAAGCTCTCTTTCTTCATTATGGGTTCTAGAAATTCACTTGTTTCTTTCTGATTCTACATTTAACTGTCCTTTTTGTTACCTTTTTTCCTAAACTTTCTTGCTGCTGACATATTCCGTCTATGATATTTTCAGTATCCTTCTGTAGAAACACATTTCTGTAACTTCAAATCTTTTCTACGTCTGTGATGAGATTGTCAAGCATTCACTGCGATATAGGAGGACTGGTATTACATAAAAAGCAGGACAGACTGGGTTCTATAGCCTTGGATGACAACTGGTCTAGAAGGAAAACTCGGAATTCAAACCTGCTCTTAGAGGAGGGTGAATGGAGTCTCTCTGAGCCTTGATACAATAAAAACACTCTTGATAGCCCTAGCGAAGCATCAAGAATTCAGCTATTTGACAAGATTCTGAACTACACCAATCAAATTATTGGTGAGTTCAATCTCTGCTGTGGCCGCAAACTACTACTATTACATAAAATTCAGTACCCTTTTCTTTCGTACAAACGATATTTTCCATTTTCGTAATACTTTACTTAGATTTGGAAGGCATCTTTCGCTATGCCAAAACGCCTTTGGATTTAAAACTAGATTCTTTTATTATTTTGATTTTGTAATTTGTTGTTTGATTTACCCTAACGGAATATACAATTGCTTATCCTTCAAGACGATGGCGCTTTTGAGCAGACACACACACACACACACACACACACACACACACACACACACACACACACACACACACACACATATATATATATATATATATATATATATATATATATATATACCTAAGTATAGGATTGGTGTATATGGAATAAATTCCAATAACCAAAACATACAATTCTTAAAAGAGTGCTCAATACTGAGTAGAGCAAATATAATCATTTATTCGAAAATTACAATTTAAGTCCGACAATTATTTTAATATATTTTCTGTTTATAAGTTATTTATATACATAAATATATTTAAGTAAATGCTGTGTATATAATAAACAGTATTCAGGCTGCTAAATGATGTTAATAATGTTTATTATAGTAAATAGAGAATTTATTTAAATATTTGTATCTATAAAAATATCGTATAGACAGAATAATTATTTATTACCAAAAATTTAAAAACTCTAACCTTATAGAAAAAATAACAATTCACCTCTTACAACAAAATTAAATAGGACAAATATTATTTATGAATTGAAATGACCATTAAGGAATTGCATTCCTGATCAATCAAAACTCGTAAATATTTATATAGGCCACACTACAACTTGTTTGACACGCAGACTTACCCTACACTTTTCTAACCATAGCTCAATTAGATCTCATTTAAATATTCATGAAGGCCTACCGGACACTATTCGTAATATACTTGTTGACAACACAAATATAATAGCATCATCTACATGCAAAAAAAAAAAGGCGAAAAATAATGGAAGCCTTATTAATAAAAACAAAAAACACCACTTAATAATATTAACTTTGAACATGGACACAATGTCTTGACTGTGTTTTGAAAAATGAAAACATTTTATAAATTATACATATAACATACATACAAAAAATTATTATTTAACAGTTAAAATATTTAATGGTTGAAAATGTCTAAATGTATAGCCGAAAGCGCTCGGAATAAAAAAACATTCGGACAGTTTTTATATAATTTATCATCCGAAAAGGAAAAATTATCAGATCGAACGAGAAATTATATAAAAAAAACTAAATAAAAGCACCTTGTCTTTCGTATTCAATGAAATGTGCATGAAAGAAGGATTGCTGTTTGAAATACACAAATATATATATATATATATATATATATGTGTGTGTGTATATATATATATATATATATATATATATATATATATATATATATATATATGCTATGGGTTAGTAGGTAATCTGTTAAAGCTGAAAATCTTCGACTGTTTTGAGAGCGAAACATTCATGCAGCTTCCTAGTTTGTGTTTGATCTTTAGATCGTGATGCGACGTATTCAATGTTGCGAAAAGAGCAAGCAAGTGTCGTGACAAGAAAACGCACACGCCCTGTTTTTCTTCAA